GGCCCTTCAGGCCTACAGCTTTTTCTGCTCAGTGGCAAACACTGGTGTAGTGACCGATTTGAATTATCAGGTAACAATAACCAAATTATGTGTTTCTAAATGGTATTTGTCCAATGAACGCATTGTCATAGTTGTTGGATATTTGGGACCCCCACATGCATGACAGAACATAGAGACAATAATGTAACCCAACAAGAGTAGCCCTACTTTTATTGGGTTACATTATTGTATCTAGACAGAACAGTGCACACGGCATCCGTCCAGCATTGACTTGCTTTGTTTAATTGCTGATTTCAAACATTCATATATATGGCTTTTAACTTGGGGATATTGGGGCTCGTAGGGTCTATGTCCCCCTGACCTCTGTTTGACCTGGCTCGTTTAGATATTTCTGACTAACGCTAACCCTAACCCTATATATATTATATATTATATATATATATATATTAGTCAGAAATAGCTAAACGAGCCAGGTCAAACAGAGGTCAGAGGGACATAGACCTTATCTGCGATATTGGGCCCTACTCGCTTCCTTTTTTATCACTTCGTATTGGTGATATAAACCACTGCAAGAACATTAAACATTGTTCTTCATACAATTGTGACATTTACTGACATACTACCACGACAGAGAGCAAATGTCTAAACAAATAGCATTGAGAGGGGCACTCCCATTGTTAAAGATACTGGGGACGTGCCGCTGGACAGGGTATATTTTCCGAACATCATTATTGGCATGCAGGGTTATCTAGATACACACCCATCAAGCTGATATTGAACCAATATTGGCAAAACAATATTGGGCCAATATCACCAGGCCAATATTGGACCAATATAGGCATATATTGGTTCAATATAGGCAGATATTGGTCCAATATCTGCCTATATTGATTGGCAAAACAATATTGGGCCAATATCACCAGGCCAATATTGGACCAATATAGGCATATATTGGTTCAATATAGGCAGATATTGGTCCAATATCTGCCTATATTGACATGACAGGACAGGACATAGCCGAAATGTGCAATATTGCAACAGGCTATACTTTTTAGTGCACAGTATATATTGGGACAGGGTGTATTTTAACCTGTTACAAAAATTCGAAGTGAAGAGCGGCGAATATACTAAGCGCCATTTCTGTTGACCTGTGACGTACTTCGGTTTAAAGAGCGGATTCACCGACTAATCGGAGGGCGCTGCGTTTGCCGATCGCTATGCGCATTGGGAATGCGTACGTCACAGGTCAACAGAAATGGCGCTCGAAATATCCGCCGCTCGTCCCTTCAAATTTTTGTAACAGGTTATATTAGTTTAATACAGAGTATTGTGATACATAGTAAGTTCCAAGATAGCGGAGAAAGGTTCGTTTTGAGAATAAACCCAGTTTGGAAGTTCTAGTCTCTGAAAACGCACCAGCAAACCGTCCTGAGTGATTCACCCAGGGGTTCCCTGAATTTCCTCCACAGAAAACCATAGCGACGCATTGTAACCCTATCCTGGGTTTGGGTTACATTATTGTATCTAGGTCACACCCCATGGCTATAGCTATAGCCCTGGACGTTTATTCCATATGGACTGTCCAGCATAGAAGTAGAAGTAGAAGTAGAAGTAGAAGTAGAAGTAACCCTGCAAGTAGGCATGCAGCGTTACACTCAATCTGTCTATGTATATCATATATGTGGGTCACTTGGGTGATCACTGATCATCCATAACCTCCACTGCCACTGGCGCACGACGGGTC